CTGATGAGTACCCAAATAATGAGAGAACTCACTGCCTCTCCAAGTCTGTGACCTTCTTGGCCTTTGAGGATGCTCTAGGAATGGCTCTGACATGCATGGCTCTGTGCCTTTTTGTCCTCACAGCTGTGACTTTGGGGGTCTTTGTGAAGCACCGAGACACACCCATAGTCAAGGCCAATAATCGGGCTCTCAGTTACACTCTTCTCATTGCCCTTCACCTGTGCTTTCTCTGCTCCTTACTCTTCATTGGTCGTCCCAACACAGCCACCTGCATCCTCCAGCAAATCTCATTTGGAGTTGTGTTCACTGTGGCTGTTTCCAGCGTTTTGGCCAAAACCATTACTGTTATTCTGGCATTCAGGGCTGTGAAGACTGGAAAAACATTGAGGTGGTTGCTGCTGTCAGGGGCTCCTAACTTTGTCATTCCCATCTGCTCCCTCATCCAAATGATTATCTGTGGAATCTGGCTGGGACTGTCTCCCCCTTTTCTTGACACAGACTCAGTCTCTGAGCCCAAACACCTGGTCATGATGTGCAACAAGGGCTCAGCCACTGCTTTCTACTTTGTCCTGGGATACTTGGGCTCCTTGGCCCTCGGAAGCTTCACTGTGGCTTTCCTGGCCAGGAACCTACCTGACACGTTCAATGAAGCCAAGTTCCTGACATTCAGCATGTTGCTGTTCTGTAGTGTCTGGGTCACCTTCCTCCCTGTCTACCACAGCACCAAGGGGAAGGTCATGGTGGCTGTGGAAGTGTTCTCCATCTTGGCCTCCAGTGCAGGGCTCTTAGGCTGCATCTTTGCCCCTAAGTGCTACATTATTTTGATTCATTCTGATAAGAACACTTTAAAAGGATTAAAGAATAGAAACGCTTCCAGAGGAAATGAACATTTTTAGGTTTTATTTCACAAGTCTCTATCACATTTTAGGGTCTAAAACCACAAAAACACCCTGATTTTTTATTCCAGTATTCAGGTACCTGAAAATGATTTACCTTATCAGATCTACTTTTTATCACAAATGTTATTGTGTACAATGCACCTTAGTAGGCCTTCAAAAATACAGACATAAATTTCATGTCAAGTTAGTAGCTTTCCTTAAACTTATTGACATTGAAGTAGAAAGAGAAATACTGCACATTCATAATCATGTGAAAACTACAAGCGATGACTTTATTGAAGAAGAAAATAGAATTATAATTAGCAGAGGGTAAAATAAGCAATCACAGTGTTCAATAGAGGCTGTCTTCTACATTTTTGGCACCAGGGACTGGTTTGTGGAAGACAAGTTTTTTTTTTTTTTTTTCTTGAGTGGTTCTTGCTATAGGGTGAGTGCGCTCACCAGAAAGAGAGAGACAGAGGATAGAAAGTGAGAAATCAGCCCCAGAGGGGATGGCCATGCCACAATCCCTCTTCTCCATTCTCCTCGCGGGATCTTGGGCACGCACGCACATGTGCCCGTGCAAGTTAAAGCCACTGAATATGGGACTTGAACCGTGGTCAACTACATGGGAGTCCAGCAGCATAGCCATTAGGTTGGTTGCTGGTCCCTGGAAGACAATTTTCTACAGATAAGGAGGGATGATTAATGAGAGCAAGCAATCTAGATCTCTTGTGTGTGCAGTTGACCATAGGCTTATGTTCCTATGAGACTCTAATGCCACTGTTGCTCTGCCAAGAGGTGGAGCTCAGGCAACAATGTGAGATATGGGAGCAGCAGTGAATATGGATGCAGCTTTGCCTGCTTCTCCACCACTCACCTCTTCTATGCAGCCAGGTTTCTCATAGGTCACACAGATCTGTGGGGACTGGGGACTCCTGTTATATAGTTCAGTAGAGTGAATATAATGAATAATATCTTATTGTATATCTCAGGCTAATTCAAAGATTTTGACTGTTTCAGGAACCAGCAGTTAGCGTAATGGCTATGTCGCTGGACTCCCACGTAGTCGACCGCGGTTCGTGTCCCGGACCCAGTGGCTTAAAACTCACGCCGGGTGCGTGTGCGTGCGTGCCCAAGATCCCGAGAGGAGAATGGAGGAGAAGGGATTGCGGCGTGACCATCCCCCCTGGGGGGTGATTTCTCGCTTTCTGTCTCTATGTCTCTCTCTGTATGTCTGGCGAGCGCACACGCCCTACAGTAAAAATCTCTCTCAAAAAAAAAAAATGATTTTGACTGTTTCCAACATGAAGTAATTCCAAATATTTAGATGGTACATATGTTAATTGCCATGATTTGATCATTACAGATTGTCCTTTACAACTAAAAAATAAAACTCCATCTCATTAATATGTAAAAATTATGTGTCCAAAGAAAAAGAAAAGAAAATTATATGTCCCTTGGGGAAAAAGACAACTCTCACAGCAGGAGTGATAATTAATGTGTAGTGCAAGACATCATAATTAGTTCTGATCATCTCCTGTAATTCCCATGGCCCACTCTATCTTAAACTTATATAAAGACAATTCCTAACCACATAGAACATTTGGGAAAAAACTGCTTATTTCCACCTTATGTCCAGGAACTCCCAGAAAAATACAAAAGTTGAGGATATCATATGCATCATCCAGTTTTGTTTTGCCATTCAAATTGACTAGGTCAGCAGCAGAATGATTAAATTTGGTGCTGTTCAGGAAAGGCTACAGAGATCTAACGATAGTGCTATGTAAAAATGAGTTCCATCATATTAGTCAGATATAAAATGCTTCTTTCTGGTGAGAAAAATACCACTGTGAGGTAGTGGCCTAGATATTCCCTACTACTTAATATTTCCATCTTCTAGAGTTCGACTCTAGCAGAGAGTTGGTTTTACCATAAATGAAGATTCCTTGATATGGATATGACATGGACTGCCAATTAAGAAGTGTCACCAGGACCAGCACTTGGCATAATGGCTATGTCGCTGGATTCCCATGTAGTCAACTGCGGTTCCAGTCTCGGACCCAGTGGCTTAAACTCATGTCAGGTGCATGTGTGTGTGTGCTCAAGTACCCAAGGGGGTTAATGGAGGAGAATGGAGAAAGGATTGCAGCATGCCATCCCCCCTGGGAGTGATTTCTCCCTTTGCTCTCTTTGTCTCTCTGTCTTTCTGGTGAGTGCATGCACCCTATAGGAAGAAAACCTCTCAAAATAATAATAATAATAATAAAAATAGAAGTATCACCAGTCAGTGACAGGCATCATTTTCCCAAAAGCCATACGGACTCTCTCCTAGCCCATCTCTTCTCACAAGTTTGAGTAAAACTGAAGTCTGCTCTTTTGATATAATGAACTCTAATTAGGTCTAGCAGCAATAAACCATCAAAGAGATCATGACAAGACCAGAGATATGTCTTATAGAGAGAAGGAAACTGGCAATTTTCACTTAAGATAGAATCAAAGGGCCGAACATATGATAAATACTCAGTCAGTGCAATTTGTCTGTGGCAACTGTTGACTTTTCTAAGGTCTTATAATTTATAGCTAAAGCAAAGAAGTAGAGTTCTGGAATGCCCTTACTAAATGAAGGAGAACTATTTATATTTGTAAAGTAAAGTGCAATGAATACAGAAGTAGATTCTCATTCAGGAAGGGCTTTGTAAATGGTTTGAGTCAGGAACCCAAATGCTTGTCTATATTGACACATCATTAAATGATTCATAGAAGAGTAATGATATTAACATAAAGTTAGAGATAGCCATGGGGAGAGTCAATAACTAGCTGAAAGGTATAGGAAAAAGAGGGGGCATGAAATTTGAGGGTTGAGAATGGTGCTGCAGAAGACCTGCAAGTAAATCACCTACGTCTCTGCTCCATCACACATGGATCTTCCACCATCAAATAGCAGGAAAATAAGAACTTCAGAACTCCAGTGAAGCCGGAATTATAAAAAGGATGGAATATTTGGATGAAGTACAAAGAACATGGAAGATTAGATACATTAGAACTTGTTAAACAACAAGTTTTAAAGTTTAAAAGTATAATAATAATGTAAACATAAGTAATAAATATCAGGACTTATTCAAAATGGCCTCTCTTTTCATCTTTTTCACAAACTTGCACACAAGGAGTCTCCCAGACAAAAAAGAAACTTTTTGTATTCCTATTTTCTGAGATTTAAAATCTCAGCAAGCATAAAACAGAGGTGTCTTTTTTGTTTCAAGTGTCCTATGCATTAAGATAATTAATTGTCCAGTTCCTGCTCACTGCTTGTTAGCATTCTGTATATGCTTAAGAAGAAAAAGTGCTCTTCAGTTTTTCTGTTCTGTTTTCTACATGTGTCCAGTACATCAAATTTGTTAATTTTGTTAAAAGATTTTTTTTTGTGATAAACATTAAAATATTTTACATTCATAGCAGTTTTTCCTGTTTGCACTTACTCATCTTTTCTTCATTCTCTTTCACATTTTCCTCCTCTTCCTTCTCCTGGTCTTTGTTATTCTTTTTTATAAGGCTATATTATTTTAAAATTATTCAAAATGTAAGATCACAAATATTGTACCTTAGTTATTGTATTTAACCATTATATTATTATGAATTGAACACTTGATTCCTAATGATTCACTTAACCTCCTTCTATTTATCTGATAATTAGTTTAGCTACCCTAGATTCATTTTGGTTGATAGTTGCCTGGTGTATCTTTGTGTCTTCTATTATATCTTTACTTTCAAAATTTAAAAATATTTTCTTATGCCTCTGTAATACATAGGGTATTGGTAAACTTTTTATTTTTTCCATCCTATTAGATAATATACTTTTTCTATTCCTTTCTTTTATTTTCTTATTTTTTACCTTTAATTACTGTACATAATTACAGCATACAAAATTAACTTTTTGTGCATGAATACAGTGCCTATTAGTTTAGTCAAAGTTATTACTCTACACATTTTCATACACAAATAATTTCCATTTTTGTGCCCATTAAAAATCATGCTTGTGTCCCCCATGATTCCCTTCTCCCACCTTGCCCTCATTGCCTGTCCTACTCCCACACTGTCTCATGTATCCACAGTGGCTCTCCATACTTTCATTTCTTCCAATCTTTCAGCTTCTGTCATACAGTGCAGACATGTAGTATTATTAAACGAAAAATAAACCAGCCAATTTAATAGAGTTTTAACAGAACAAATCTTAACACAATTTAAATTGGGCAGGGGACCAGCAGTTAGCATAATGGCTATGTCACTGGATTCTCACGTAGTTAACCGCGGTTCAAGTCCCGAACCCGGTGGCTTAAACTCACGCCGGGCACGTGTG